CTTTGAAAAATATTAGTAAATAAGATCCTCTTAAGCCCAATAAGGGAAAACATAAATGTCCCAAAGCCCTACCTAGTGCTCTTCTTCCCTCTGACGAGATTCGCTAGCCCAAGCAACCAATCAATCGATCCATCAAACAAACAAACGCTGTCAAACATACATGCATACGTGGCTGGGTATTTTCATGTGTACACACGACAAGCTATATGCTACTGGTAGCTAGGTATGTACATATTTCTTGCATCATGCATGTATGTATTTATGTACGTAGGTATGTGTGTATGTGAATAATATATATATATATATATATATATATATATAATTATACATATATACATATATATATATATATATATATATTAATTATATATATATATATATATATATATATATATATATGTGGGTGTATATGCAGGTACACATGATTCTGTATAAGCATTAAAATCATGGAAATACACATAAACACTCACAAAGGCATTCGTTTTCATACACATATGGAGCCATGTCAATGTGCTATGCGGTGGTACTTTGAGAAACACAGCCCGAGGTCTCTCTCCTTGCCTTTTGATTGCAACCACTCAATGGCTGCTTGTACTTCCTTCTGGCTGCCATCGTAGCAGCCCGGCAGAGAGTAACTCAAGACCTAGGTCCGCAATATGCGCAACACACGAGCAGGCGATGAAGGTCTTTACGCTCTCACAACTCGGACGAAGCCAGGCGAGGTTCTTGGGTGCTGAGTCGGTGTGAAAAGGACTGAAGTGGATTCTCAGGTGTGCCAGTTCACCACAGGAGACAAGACGAACATGTAAGTCGCAGCGATTATCCAGAGAATCACATCTTTGAGAGCAGTGTCCTTGTATCAGAATGACCTAAAGGATAAAGTTGAACACCTAAACACATCAGTAAAGTTTACAGTTTGTCACAGGACACGAACAGCTACTTTGAGCTTCCCTAGGTTCCCTGCAAATTCCGCTCAGAGCCTTGCTAGACTACATCAGTAACCGGGGACTCTGAACAGATTCCAACAGGGTACCGCCATACTAAGGTACGTGAAACAGCGTATCCCAGGCTCAGACATGGCATCTCTCTCTCAGTACTCGTTGCAGGAGAAAGGCACTTGATACTTGCCGCCCACGTTGCATCCACAGTGTTGCACAGCAGTTCCCCAGGCTTGACTGGTATGCCATATGTTGTCGTACTCCATCGCTGCGCAGTCTTGCAGACACTAGCTCAAAGGCGGCTTCGCAGTTGCGCATCAGAGTCGGCAGCACCCCAGGTGAGTACAGACCCGTATGCCAGGGTCACCACGAACACGTCGCCAGAAGCTTGGGTCTGCTGCCCATCGCGCAGCTGGTGCTGTGCCGTGCTGTCGGGTTTACCAGACTCGGCAGCTTTCCGGCGAACACAGTTCTATCGTCCAGAAGTGCAGCCGGTGCATCAGGAGGAGCTTGTGCTCTCTGTAGTCGGCAGCTGCTCTGAAACGATACTTGTTGTCCCGCCGGCATCTGTCCACTTTCACGGAGCAGCGGCGCTATCCGAGACTTGGCTTCTGCCATCACAGCTTGCACTCTCTGGGAGACAAGATGTACGCATAGTCAGTACTGCTGTATCCCAGACGCAGGAGGGGTCTTGGAGGTCAGGACCAAGGAGGTTCGCGTGGTCCTCTTCCAGCCCTCGTCATCTGCTAGCAGAGTTACACCATGGCAACCGCGCGGTCGAGGGTTGGTGGTTTGGTTTCAAGAGGGACAAGGGAGGGCAAGTTACCGAGTGCACACAAGAACTACTGCAAAGTTCTCCCTTCTCGACGACGTAGACGGGACGGGGCCTCGACAAGGACCTCTCATGCGTCATCCATGCACCATCATCATGCAACATGCAAAACAAATTCATCATGCGTCATGCATCAAATTCACAGTCCAGCACATGCATCAGCAAGGAAAAGGAAAGTGCTTGCAGTCCGGCAGCACCTGGGCTAGTGTTTTACACACTGTAGCTCTCCCGCGTCCTAGCATGTGGGGGCTTGCGGGGAGTCCTCGATGAAGGTCTTTAGGGTTTCGGGTTAATGATCCCACGCAGATTTCGAGCAAGCGGCTACCCCATTTCTACTGCAGCATCGTTGCTGTGGCCTTCGGATGCATCAGCAATCCCCGATGTCTCTGCAGCTTCCCCACACCCGAGGCGTGAAAGCCGAGCAACCATGCGACAAACAGCGCTACGCGTCGAGGCGTCGAGCCGCAAGTTGCTTATGAATATATACATGCATAATGAGAAATAGACAATTCTACTCCCACGTGTTCTGCAAAGAAAGCGTTTCTCTAAGTATGTCCTTCGCCCAGCTGCAAGGATAGGCGGCGGAGTGCGCTCGTCTGCCAGGCGCGGCAGAAGGCGAGCGGCGAAAGCCAGCGACACGGGCTGGGCCAAAGGACAATTTCAACTTGTCTTAACGATAGTCACTATAGTAGGTCGACCTGTACGACTGAGCAGCGTGCACGAGCAAGGCAGTGAGAGACAAAGAGAGACAGGCTAAAGCAAGGTTGATACTGAGAGAGAGAGAGAGAAAGCAACAAATGTGTGATTTGAGGTGTCCATGCGGACGAGCAAGGAGGCAAAGCAAGACAGACAGACTTAGGCGAGAGAGGAACAAAGAGAGAGGGAGAGGGGAGAAAGAGCCGTGTCCAGGAGAAAGCGAAGCAAGAGTCAAAGCCCCTGAGAGGAAGCCAGCCAATGGGAAGGGCCCGAATCTGAGCTCTCTCCTCTGAAATCCCGCCCTGGTAGCGGCCTAAAGGTCTGAACACCAGAACATCTTGCCGAAGACGTCTCAAGCATGTTTGTGGATCTTGGCAACGTGTCTTCCCTCGACGGCTCTCACAACAAAGGCGCCGGCCGCACGGGTGAGGAAAGCGCCGCCAGGTATGTACAGAATAGCAGTCCTGGCGGCTTGCGCACAAACACAAGCACCCATCATCGCCATCTCTACACGAATCCGAAGATGTTTTTGCAATCTCCTTGTGTCGTGCTCACTTCTCGGAAGCGTGAGCCACTCGGCAACCATGTCTTTGGGCACGCCAGTCGCAGGTTTGCGAGTGATGATGCCTCGAAACAGTGCTCCTGGCCGCAAAGTTCAGCACGCTGAGAATACAAGACAGTGTACTGGCAAACGAATCAAATTCCGAGTCTCTCTGTCTCTCTCTTGCTTGCTTACTTGCCTGGCGTTTAGGTAGGGGAGGACCCCAAGACGCCCGCGCGCTAGCGCCATCATACCCAGAAACTCTCCCTGTTTTGTCTGCTCCCTCTTCTCCCCATGCAGTTCCTCTGAGAATTGTGACTTACCCACAGGAACCCAACAAAGCACCGCAACATCCCGCCCCCCTGGCGGAATCCTTCCAAACATCTGGCCACGGGCCAAGCCAGGTTGTCCCTTGGGTCGCCACACGAAACTTACATGGTTCTTTGGGGGTTCCGGGTTCCGCTTCTGGCGTTTAGGGCTTATGGCTTATGGGGTTTTTGTGCCACAGGCTTGACAGTGATGCGTGCTTCATTCTTCTAAGCCTCCTCTCGCTGCCCCTCCTGTGACTACTCTTGTCGTTTCTGGTCCATACTTTCACCGCCACGCCAAACATTCTCCTGAGACCGACCGAAACATTCTCAAAGCTATGTGGCAGCCAAGTCTCAACAGCCACGTAAACAGCTCCTTGAAACAGGAATTGTCACAAGTCATACATGCAATTAGTATCCAGTTTTCGTTTGTCAGAAGGACAGAAGCTATACAGGGCTGGAACCCAGCCTCTGTCGGATCATTGATGTGTCAAGTGCTGAAGGCGGGATTGCAATTCAGGACCCTATGCCAGATGCTATATTATACTATATTGTACTATAATACACTCTAGTATACTGTAATATACTATAATAAAGACCGAAGTCTGTAACAGGGTCAAGCTCTCAGCAAACGACGCCTTCCCACAAACCCCAACCCGGCATCCTAATCCCAAACACCCAGAACTTCCATAAACCCTGACTACAACATGTAATGTCAATATGGGGGATGCATTATTCAACCTGTGCAATCAGGACGTAAGACATAACGTATGATCAACACTGCTGAAAATCCGAGCCGCAGGTCCGCCTGGTCTTAGGCGCTGGATGAATCGTAAGGCCGCTAGGACAAAAGCCACGAGCAGACCGGGGGGGAAGCGCCACTCGAGGGCTCGGGGTGCCGTGGCCATGGCTTGGGAGTCTTGGGGGTCTATTCAGGGTTCCAGGTTTTACTTTTATGTTGTGGTTTCTTGGGTCGCTTGCAAAAACTGGGTCCAGGGTTTCGGGAACAAGTTTTTGCTGTTTTGCCGTTCCATGGTCGTTACAGGGCTTTCTAAACCAGCAAACTTCCGGATTCATCGTGTCTGACATGATGGCAGGTGGGCTGTATTGCGGGGGGTCGCTACTCTCATCGGTTCCTTGCTGCTGGCAACCGTGAACCAGTCTCGTGGATAGTTGCTCCTTGGGGCAAGGGAATCGCTGTAGGGTCAAAGGCAACTTCGCACACCGAACCGGCAAATCCAGAGAGTTAAACGTTCGGCTGAAATGAAGGCAGTAGCTGCGAGCGAGTAGATAGCCTAGGCATGAAAGCGACAGAGGAAATGGTATAGCCGTCATGACGCATGACGACGGCAGAAGGCTGCTTCTTGAGCTGTGGATCCACGTATTTGCTGCGAGTTGCGGCATTGCCCGGCGATGTCACAGACTGCAAGGTCCCACTGATCTGCATCAATCACCGCAAAGGCCCCCGAAATACTGCCCGCTGCTGCATCGCTCGCATGTACATGTGCCAGACACATCTCGACTCCACGTGCCAATCTGCAAGGAAAGACTACCAAGACATGACCCAAATATTTGATACTGGACTCAAGTCTAGCCACGACATGACCCTAAACCCTAAACCTGTGACCATGCTCAAGCAAGCCCTGAAGGCCCTTACATCCCCAGCCGACAGCTGGGCTCGGGACCCGAGGCCCCACGCAGGGAGAGCTTCCGCCACGAGCTGCAGCCTCAGTCGGGCTTTTGTTTCGGCTTGTGGAGACCTCAGCTTTTATGTGGGTTTCCGGGTGCAGGCCCTGAGGTTTTTCGATTTTTTGAAACTTTGATGACTGCGCTGAGAAGCTCGGATTTTGGACTGTGACGGTTCGGCCAAGGCCGGTTGATTATTCCGGTGGCTTCATTGCAACCCTGTGGCTCCTGACATTACGAGTAGCAGGCTGTTTCTAGACCTCCCTGAGACGTCTTTAGGGTTCTGTATAGAGCTTACCTGCATTAGGTAGTGTGCTTTTAGCTACCAGGCACATAGCTTCTCGTCGCGGGGGCCTTAGGTATGATGCCAGAACTGCTGGGGCTGCTCCACTGCTTTGAGGGTTTGTGGGTTGCCTCCCGCACTATTATTACGACAAACCTACCTCACCAGACAAGAACTAAAACTTTTAAAGTGGTTGCCGCGCAGGCTTAGGATGTTGGGTTGAGGAGCCAGGAAAGCGCGGAGCACTTCGCAGTGCATACTAAACGTAGCTAATCTTAGCTAAAGTTATTGCAAGTTTTGCAAGATACAGCTGCAAATTTCCCATTCTTTGAGCAGAAGCTACATGTTCAACTAAGTTTTCAAGCTAGCCTTGCATGTGGCGGTGAACATGTAAGGTCTCCAGGGAGCAAAACCCCGCAGCGGTTAATCCAAATATGGGGGGCACGAAGAGCACACACACACACACACACACATGGAACACCAGCAGTTGATCCATCACAGGCAAGTTCCCGGGCAGAGCATGCTGCGCAGGAGCACCGCCCCCCACCGAGGCTCCGATCACCTCGAGAGCTGCGGCGGAGCGAGAATCTTGGGGGAGGGGGGGTTCACAATGGCAGCTGATAGTGTCGTACTTGGTAGTGTTACCTGGCCAGCTAGACAATCAACACCAACAACACATATATATATATATATAGAAACTGCAATCACGCAAATATATGTCCGTACACATCTGTTTGTTACATACACATGTGTAAGTATGTATGTATGTATGTATGTATGTATGTATGTGTGTATGCAGCGTGTAAGAACAGCGCCTCACACTGACGATCAGGTCCAAAGTTGGAAATCCGGCGTGTCTGAGGCCTGTCCTTCTACTTCCTTCGCATGTACGTAGACTTACATGAACAAGGCAGGATACTGTTTCTACCAATTACCGGTAATCTGCTGAGACTCTAACAGACCAAAGACCAAATCGGAAAGCTCTGCAAAAAGTGCTTGATACTCCAGATATGACACCGCCTCCTTAGCAAAAAGCCTCAAAGTCCGCATATCTGAACCGCGTGCAATGTTGTTCCTTCAAACCACGCAAATTTTTGATGGGCCCAAAACAGGCCCGCACTCAAACGCATCGTGCATGCGACTGGCTCGGCACCTCTTCCCACCGCTCTATGACTTGCCTGGCATCTCCAGACAGCGATCGAGCAGTGGAGCTTTTTAGTTGGTTTTTCCCTCCTACCTGGCAAAGACGAAGCCCGCATTGCAGGGTAACTCCGAAGTAGCAGACGAAAAAGCTGTGCTCAGGGTGTAGGGTTGCTATTGATAGCAAGGGTGTTTTTGCGGACTTCTACATACCTTTGGTTCGCAACTGGCTTGCAACGTCACACCCGGATTGCCCTACACATGCAGATCATAGACCTTGAAGCTTATCGCCGTCATTGCTGATATGACTGGCCTCACTTGCTGATCATTCTTATTATACCCTCCTTGATCGGTACCCGGCTTGCCCCGTCGATGGGCTGCGGACTTCGAGTCCGATCAGGACATGTTAGGCTCTCGCAACTCGGACTTGCCAGATCAGGACATGTTAAAGGTTGTGGGCCTCAAGCTTGCAGAATCGGCAGGAACCAACGACATAAGACGAACCAGCATGAGGACAGGCAGTATTATGTTGGAAATTAGACATCGTGATCACGGTCTTCATCGAAAACTTCGCTAGCGGCAACAACAAGAACATCAACACCAGCAGCATCATAACCATCACCAGAGATATACTCCCAACAACAGCATCATGATGATAAATATTGGCAACAACACTATTATCATCACCATCAGCAGCAGCATTGTCATCACCATCGTCGCTGTTACACCCATGACCAGGATTATGCACTGCTGGCTTCTGCAGCTTCAGATTCATCATAATCATCATCGTCATTGTCGTTGCTGCTCCCACAACCACCACCCTCACCTCTCTCAGAAACCATGCTGCGTGGCATGGGGCTTCAAAGGATGGTTGCTGCTGCGATGCTGCTGCATAATATCACATGATGTGGTCCCCGCGTCAACTTCTACCTTCCAGTCCCTTTTTGCGCTCGGGGCACTGCGTGGGTGCTTTACATTTTACATACCTGCTCGCTTGCTCGGGCAAGGTGCAGGAAATCCAAAGACTTGGCTTAAAGACGCAGGACGGCTTTGCTTCGCAAAGTTGTGTCTGCGGATCCAACGAACACTGGTGCGAGGAATGTTTCAAACACATGTCCTCTTTTTCGTTTCACGCTTCCGAGAGTACCAAATTACCACGTCAAAGATTGCCAACCTGAAGATTGATGTTGAAGGCTACCATCAACCGCCAAAGCGTCTCTGAGGACTGGAGCATATGGGACACACAAAACTGAAGATCGAGACTCCAGAGTCACAGAGTGCCTCCTCCTTTGTCATTCTTACCTCTCCTTTGTCATTATAGTTATCATTAGTTGGTACAAGAGGAGATTGTAGCGGGCTCAACACCTTCGGTGTGAGCTCAACCCAATCTGGGAGGATTCGCCAGGCGCCTACACGGCCATCTTCAACCGTTTCTTGATGACCTGCGTCAGATCATGAGTCAGCTGGGTCCTGAGCTTGTCGGCGCTTGCAGAGAGGCATCTGCTAACTCGAGGTGGCGAGTGAAATGACCAGGGATTGGCTTTACAGCAGCAGTATAAGCTTTGAATTGTGCTTTACACTTCATGACCCGCACGGCAGGGCAGCCAGTAGCATCAAGCGCAGCACGTGGAAGCCAAGGCACTTGAGCACTGTCAAGTCCTTGACGGTCGCTGCATTGGATCCCCGAAGAAGGAGAATCTCATCCAGGAAGTCCTGCACATCGAAGCTTTCCGCTCTCACAATCTCGCGGCCACTTTAAGAAAGAGCTCAGCCTGCACAATTGGACCACAATCTGAGTACCAAAGCCCCTGCTTCCCCCAACAAGGCTCGTAGACCCAAGCCTGGAAACCGATGAACGGCTCGCCATCAAAGATGATGTTCGGATCCTGGTTGCTACGACTGTGGCAAGTGACCGTAGTCGACGTCATTCAGACGGAAGCTGTGGCCAGGCATATTCTGGTGAAGAACAACAAACATGACCCTAATTAGTATGCATGAGCACATGAACATAGCACCAGCACTTCTCGGTTGCAAACATGGGAGCCGCTCATATGGTCATTCCACTCTTAGCATCACTGGTCCCGTTGTACTGCTTGCTAGGGTTGCTGCTAACACTAGCATCATCAACGAAAGTGCTGGTAGCCGTCAGGCTACTACCAGCCGTTACAAGCCTACACGGGCCTACAACATCCTGGCAACATCGCAAGAAGGGCAGGACACGGGCACCCGCACACACGCACACACAGACAAACACGCAGACACACACACACACACACACATGCACACAGACAAACAAACAGAGAGAGACAAACACAGAGTGAGAGAGACAGAGAGCGAGAGACACACGCACACACAAACACAGCCACCCAGCCACCCAGCACACACAAACCCAGACAGACACCAACATGCCCTCATGTTCCCCAGCAATCACAAACCCAAGGTGATGCCTTGACCAGCGCGATGAGGTCGACTCCCACATCCTTGAAGGCTCCGGGAGACGGTATGTGTGATTCTGCACAAGCACAACCGAGATTGCAGAGTTGGGGACCCCTGCCCTATAATGGGCTATATAATGGGTATATAATGGCTATGTTAAGGGTACATATTACCTAGGGGTCCTTGTTCAGTGCATAACATGAGGGACGGACGCGCAAGCACGGGCTCAACATGGGGATCTGATTAATCACTTAACCTAATCTTTCATCCGACTCCGCATCAGCACCGTCAACCCGCACCTGCAGCACATCAATAGCTTGGTCGTTTTGGAGCAGCATGATGAACTCCTCCTGCAAGTCATCGTAAGATGGAAGAGTACCGCTCTGGGGCCAAGTGTTCTGCAAAAGCAGTCCATGCGATCCTATCCAATCCCTGTCAGCGTCATCTCCTCCAGCACTATTTACAAACCCCGTGCACCGACCTCTGGTACAACTGCCTTGGATCCTCAGAACCTCACCAACAATTAGACAAGTCCTCTTGTTGAATCCGTACCGACATGGAAAGAATCCAAGTAAGGCCGTGCTCAACACTAGCCTAGGAAAATCCTAAAGCAACAAATGCAAAAACACAAGATACCGAACAAAAACTGCTCAAGTCTCGTTTCAAGTCTTCGCAAGCCAAGGCCATACCACGTGCGATTCAACCACCCTTTTCTCGGAAAAAAAAGAGAACAACAGTTACACAACCATGATAAATAAGGTCACAAAAAGCAGCACAAAAGCAACTTCGGCTCCTGGCTAATGGTCTCGCCTTCCGTTCCCAAAGCCTCCTTGGCCCAATGCAGCTCCTCCTTCCTCACACTGGCAGTTGTTTTAGGGCTTTTTGCTCCAGGGCTTCGCATTTTCAGGGGCCCCGAGTTGCTACAAACGAAGGGACGGCAGCAAATGCCAGTACTCTTACAGCAGTGCCGGAGTCTCTCATCAGGTCTCTTCTATCACGGCGAAACCACACAGAAATGAAAATAGCCACATGCAAACCGCCGAAGTGCTTCAAATTGACGGCCAAGTCGCAGATTGCTCACCACACGCCCTTCCTGCTCGGCAGTGGCCACGACCCGCACCACTTCCACAAGTACGCCCACGAGGAGGTTCATGATCTCGACATGCGGTGGTATGCTAGGTAGCCCAAAACATCGCATTTTTCGTTAGGGGAGGGTGGATATTAACAGACCTTTGACTATGACTGCTCGTAAGCACATCGGGCAGGTCAAGCATGCCGCTGCGCAATGATTCAATCAAACCAAACCCGAACAAAGCTCGCAAAAAAATGGTTCTTGACATATGCTCGAGGGCTGCTTAGGAAAACGGGTCAGCGCCGATGCTTGGCGACGCATCGTATGCACAGGTGTCTACATGTCAACGGGGTGTGAAGCTTTGAAGCACGCGTTCTTCTTGCCTGGTAGTGAAGAAACAGCATTGCTATGAGGCTATGATATGGCTCTGCTAGGAACCGGGAAACTCTTCGAGCAGAACAACTCGCCTCGGCCCAACCAACAGTGGCTACCACCTCGTTAGAACCACAATCTCAGAGTCCCACCGTCAGTGGCGCGCTGACGATGAAGCAAGCGAACAGCGTCCCTACGATGAGGTCGTCCTGCATTGGGGCTTTTCGATGTCGAGACACAGATGCAAAATTGCCATCCATCGCGGCCGGATCTGAGCCACAGCTTAAACGCTCATATGCCTTCAATGCCACAAAGCTTACAACCACCAAAAAAAGCCAAATGGCACGGACTTCTGGTTTACGGTTAGTAGTTAGTAGCTTTACATCCGATAAATATTCTAAGATGGAAGCCCTAAACCTCCCGCACTCCCATCCTGGAAGGCGAGGCGTGCCATCCCCGCCATGTCGTTGTTGAAGCAGCCATGGAAAGTAAGGCTAAACATGGCCTCTGCAAGTGAGTCGGAGGAAGCCTCTTGACTGGTATGCATTCATTGCAAAGGGGAGGTGCTCATTGGAGTAGCATCATCTCTCGTCGGGAAACGTGGGATTGACGCGTAACGATGAGCAGATTTGCATGCCCACCATTGCCCGCCTCTGGCAGTGTGCTGAAGTACTTGGTGCCAGCTGGCGTGTCAACTGCGATCTGGGTCAGAGCCTCGACCACACCAGGAAACTTCTTCCGAGATCAGGAACCACGGAGATTACGAATCCAACGCCTCTGAATTGAATGGGTGGAGGATCAAAAAAAATTTAAAAAGGATCAAAAACAAATTTAGGCTGAACGGATCAAGAAAAAAATTAGGAAGGATCAACACAAAATTTAGGGATTGGAGATTTGCTGCAAACAACGGCAAGTGCTATTCTGCTATTCCAATATCTCCGCGTGGCCGCCCCCAGCTCGTCGCTGCCACCCACCCTTCCTACCACGGCGCCTCCCCTACCAGTGGCAGCTCGGAGATCTGAGGTTTGCGCGACGGAGATACTGTAGTTGTGTTACATGCTGGTCTATGGTTTCTATTATTGTATATATACACGGGCTTACCACAGATATGTGTGTAGCTATATATATATATGTATATATATATATATATATATATAG